TAAAATATAAAAAACGAGTCATTCAATTTTTAGAATTCAGTATATGACTAGCTGTCTATGATTAATGCTGAACTATTAGCAATAGTTGTTTGAAAGTTTGTTAATATTTATTAAAAGACATTTAAAGGTTCAAATATTTTTAATTGAATTCTTAAAAAACATAGAATTTGCGAAAGACTATACGAGTATACGAAACATTAGTTAACGTCTACGAATCATTAGTGAAAGTTTGTGAAAGTTTGTTGGCTCGTATTTCAATCGGTACTTTTCTTTACACTTATTGCGCATAGGTTTAAGAGCATCATTGCTCAGTGCTCCTTCTGCTTGCAGTAGATGAGTGAAAAATGTTTGTTAATGCAAAATGGAACATGTTTTATCGCAAATTTTAAGAAGTCTGCAGTTTTAACAAAACGTGTAAGTACAGACTTACATGAAGTAATATGTATAAATAAGACATTTTAAATGAGTGTAATTTCAGAAACAGTCTTCCCAGTTATAGTGTATTATAGGTTATGTGGAATATGGCTTTACTGAATTTTATTAATTTATTATTATTATCATTCAGAATTTAAGATTTTAGATTAAATTATTTATTTTTAATAAATTCTAGTATACAATTTAATTTTTAAAACTTTCATGTAAATATTTCAATAAATTTATACACTAAAAAGTCACGTGTCAAATTTATGTATTGTTAATATTAATTATTTAAATTCACGTTGATTTTCATGTTATAGAAATTTTTGTTAAAACAATTATAAGAATTTGGTAAAATTTCATTTTTCTGGAAGGAAATGAAGCATTAAAACATTAATTAGCAAAAAAATTATTTGACAGGGTAACATAACCTATAATAACAATCAAACACACAATTACTTTTTTAAATTTATAATTGTTTTTCAATCATTTAAATTGAAACAATAAATGAATGGAACATTATGAAACAGAAACATTGTAATTGAAGTATAAATATCAACTATAAGTATTTTACAGATAAACAATGGAGAGTACGCAAGAAAAGGTGAGATTTTGTGTACAAAAACTGATGAAGTTATTAACAGTTTTATTTAAAGCAAACTCGATAAAATTAAAAAATTTATTTAATTTGAAATCAAGTTAAATCGTGATCTGGATATTTTTTAGAGTCTGGAAGAGAGCACATTCGAAGAGGGTGACATACTTGTAGAATTCGAAGACGAGATTGTCAGAGCAGAATTTAATAAAACCGTTCCAACGGTCGAAACGCAAGTTTCTCAAACAATTGATCAGTCGGAGGCAAATTCAGATTTTAAAGTTTGTATATTATTTTTTTATACATATTTTCTTATGTTTATAAATGCTAACAAAATATATACTTGGCAATTTTATAGAAATTGAAGCAACTCCTGGGTAATGAAGCAAATGCGAAAATATTGATAAATTCATATCAACATCACAACAAATTTCTAACCGAAAATGCAAGAAAATTGCTTGTCCATACTTTTATAAGTAAGAAGAAATATGAATTATTGAAAAATTATTTTCCCGGCAAACCAGTAAATGACTGGATGTATGTATTTAATAATTAATATTATTATTCATATTTATTGCTTTAATATATTGAAATTTATTTCAGTATAGAACATTTTTTAATCGATATTTTAAAAATTAATTTATAGCATTGAAAGAGACGAATTTTTGAACTGTGCAAAGTCAATCGTCAAGATATTTCCAACTTAATTAACTGACACCTACTACACTCCATTTCGAGTTGAGAATGGCGAAAGAATACAAACAGCAGGAAAATTAATCAGTCACTTTTCTTATGTTAAAGGATGTTTAAGAGAAGACGGAGTTCTACAACAACCAAAGCATACAAAGGCTAAAGAAAAAATTTCCAGCAACTCTCTTGAAAAACAAATTAGGCAATTTTCGAAATTTAAAAGTTTTGTTGTTTTGAAATATTTATTTTTATTTTTAACGTACCATAAAATTTTCGTTTTTGAATTTTCTATGCTTCATTTAAAACAATATTTATTTTCAGCAACTGACACACTTAAGTTTAAATACCTAGAGAATCATTCCGATGATGCAGAGAAAGTTAAAGAGTATTGATCTGACACTCACAAATGTCGAAAAAATATTTTGCATGAAGAGAAAAAAAACGTTCACGATTATATAAAACAATTTAAAGCTTTACGGGAGCAATTAGGAAAAGACTTGGTAAGTTCTTTCAATTTCTTTATTAAACTATTGTTGTAAAATTTAGTAGTTAGTCAGGGAAGTCAGGGAAATACCAGGAAAACAATTTTTTTGTCAGAGAAAGTTTTGAAACTGAATGAAATAAAAAATAAAAAAATATTAATATTAATGTTAAATTAATCAATAATCAAAAAAATATTAAGTTTTTAGAAATGCACAGAAAATTATATTTTTTGAACATTTTTAATTAAAATTTTTAATTTTGAAAATTGTTGTTTTATTTTTTATTATGAAAAGTTTTGATTTAGGCCAGAGAAAAATTCAAAATTCTGTTTACCAGAGAAAAACAAAACAAAATTTTTGTGTCAACCTTAACCTTAAATTTTTGTTGAAGTCCGTTATCTATAATAAAAAATTTCTGTCAGGAAAAATTTTTGAACGTCAGGCAAAAGTCAGCGAAATGTCAGGGAAATTAAAAAATGGATTCTTGTGGTAACCCTGTTAATATTGCCTCAGTAATTTTTTTATGTTGTGTTGCAGATTCGACTCGATTTTGAATTGGAATATGGTTTAAAGTCGCAGTACCTGTTTCAAAGATGGGATATCGTAAAAGATTATTTTATTAAATTGATAAAAGAAAGTCAACTTTCCAAAGCGGATAAAGCTTATGTTGATGTTTTACCAACTTTATCCTCTGGTATGACAATATTGTTTCATATTAAATATAAAGTTATTCTTTCTGTTTAGAAAAAAGATTTTAAATACTTTGTTTCAGATCATCAAAGTGCAGTTGTTGCATATTTGCTTTGGACTGCCAATTTCCAATAGCCTCGAGTAATATTTACTACTTACTTCAAAGTAAAACTCGATGAAAATTTTCTTTATTTTATTGTTGTTTGACGTTATTTTAAATATTAAAAATGTTGAATTGCTTTGCTTGTTCGTCATCGTTTAACGAAAACTGTGATTTAATACGCCATGTTGAATTAACACATTTGATGTCGAACTTTTTTACATGTATGGAAGAAAATTGTCTTAAAAGCTACACTCTATTCAAATCCTACAAAAAACATCGTCTTAACAATCATCTTCCGCCAATTTTTGTAAAGAACGAGTCTCCAAATTCATCCAATGAAAATGTAGTATGCATTGTCGAAGAAAATTTCGAAGATGAACCTGTTTTGTTTGTCGACGCAATTGATTCTAAAAGCGTGTTAAGGGCAGAAACTGACGATTCAAATAGTTCGTCTAATGAATACGAAGATGAATTTTACGATGCTTTAGACGAATTTTCCGAAACATCAAGTGTGAATAATACACAACCGTTTGAAAAAAATGTAATTTTATTTTCCGCAAAAATGTACAAATACACTGATGTTTCTAGAAAAAGGGCCAATGGTATTCTAAACGACGTATCTAATTTGTTTGATAATCATATGCAGTTAATGAAGGAAGAGTTTAATAATACTGTTGAACGTTCAAGTAAAAAAACTGTAACTTCTGCCGAAATTAACGAGGTTTTAGAGAAATTTTCATTGCCTTTTAAAAATATGAGTACCGAAGCGAAGCGTTTGAATTATTTCAAAAAATTGGAGACATTTGTCCCTCCAGAAAGCGTTAAGATAGGGGAAGTGAAACAAATTGTTGAGAAGAATGGAAAAAATTGTTAAAAAATAAGGATATAGTAGTGCAGTTTATTTCTCTTCGGTTAATTTTAAAACTATTTTTTGAATTGCCAGGAATTTTCGATAAAACGGTGAAATATTTACGAAAAGTTAAATGCAATGCTGACTTGGTAACAAATGTCGTTCAAGGGTGCCTTTGGCAAGATCTCATTCGTATGTATCCTGACAATAAAATTCGATTTCCAATTACATGTTACACAGATGATTATGAATGTAATAACCCACTCGGTAGTCATAAAAAAATTAACAAGTGTTAATGTTTTATGTTTTTATGTTAATATTCCTGTTTTACCACCTAATCTTCGAGCAAAAGTTGAAAATATTTTCATGTTCATGCTTTTCAATACCAACCATCGATTAAAATTTTCAAATAAAATCATCCTTACAAAAGCCATAGAGGAATTACTGTTCCTTAAACATACTGGAATAACTATATTAGTAGATAATGTCAAATATCAACTTTACTTCGATTTGATTTTACTTCAAGGTGATAACTTGGAAATAAATTCCATTCTGGGACTAACTGAAAGTTTTTCAGCAAATTTCTTCTGCTGATTTTGTCTAACGAAACATAAACATATAAATACAGTTTTTAATGAACGTGATTGCGTCCTTCGAAATGAAATAAATTATTCTACTCTCCTCGCAAAGCAAAATATTTCGATTTCTGGGATAAAAGAAGATTGTGCATTCAACCAGGTAGATGATTTTCACGTGGTAAAAAATTTTGTTGTTGATATGCAGCACGACATTCTTGAAGGTATTTTACGCTACGATTTTGCTCTTTTGTTAAATTATTTCATATATATAACGAAATTCTTCTCGCTCGATGAATTAAATCTTAGACTTTCTGGCTATCAGTACGGAGCAGATGATAACGTGAACAAACCTCAACCAATTTCAGAAAAGCATATTAAGAATGGCTGCATTATTATTTCAGCTGCTGAAATGCTGAATCTTTTTAGAAGTCTATATCTCATCTTAGGGCCCTTGGTACCGGAAGAAGACTCTCATTGAAAGTTGCTCCTAAAATTCAAAACTGTATTTGAAATAATTTTCAGTAAAACTGTTTACAAAACGACGCACAATTTACTTGATACTGTAATCTCGGAATACTTGTCAACACTTTCGACAATGTATCCAAATCATATGAAGCCGAAGCATCACTTCCTAATTCACTACGCTCGAATTATGAAAGCGATTGGACCTCTCCCTCAAGTAAGTTCGATCCGCAACGAAAGTAAGCACAAGGAGGGCAAAGAAACTTCACGAGTGTCAATCTGTAGAAAATATATATGCAAAATTATTGCCACCAAACATCAGCTCATTTTAAATCACAGATTTTTAGTTAAAAACGAAGATTCAAGTCTATTTGAATCTGGACCGAAAAAAATAAAAAGCTATGCCGACTTGCCGAATGAACGCGAATTCAATCATCTGTTACCATATTTTGCTGGAACGAATATACGAACGACGAAATGGATTAAATACCTCGGAAACAAAATTAAATGTAACAACATTTTAACTGTATTCCCTGAAAATGGTCCACAATTTTATCAAGTGCATTTGATTCTTATTTCTGATTCCGAGGACCAATTTGAAATCGTTTGTAAATTATTACATGATTGTTTTTTCAGGGAACATTTACAAGCTTACAAAATTTACGACGAGACAAATTATTCCTTCGCCGTTTTAAAATCAGATGAAATCATGTACAATACACCTGTTAGTGTTAAAAATCAATTGAAAGACGGTTTTAATTATATTGCCAAACACTGGATGTAAATGGATTTTTTGTAATAAAAAAAGTATGTTTTCGAAGTGCTAATTCTCATGTTGCGTATTCCTAAAAATATATGTAATATTACAATGTATTTTTACACGGAGAGAACTCTCTTACGAATATTGCACGACGGGCTATTACTATTTTTCCAACAGAATATGTTTTGGAAATATCGCTTGAGACTGGAAGTATTTTTTCACGAATTTATGAGTTTGTAGCAAAACGGTGCTGTGTGAAATATTAGTATAAGTCAACATACTAATTCTACAACAAGTGTATGCAACAAACGCTCCAGAAACATGACGAAAATGCACAACGCCTTTCTTTGCTGCATTTGCTCGAAATCCATGAAAAATCAGCATGGATTTCTTGCAAATCGAGCTAAAACGTAACGCGCAGGCGTCGTTAATTTCGTCAATGAAAGAAATCGAAACGCATAGGAATAGAAATCACTCAGCCTTCACCCTCGCGCCTTCGGCGCTTGGGCTACGGCTTCGTTCTTCTCAGTGCTCGACTCGTGCTAAAAACATTCGCCCTCTTCGTAAATGGGTCTGTCTTCCCCATGTTAAGCAATATACTATACTAGTGGGTAAAAATTTTTTATATGAACAATAAATATTTTTATATAAACTTAAATTTGCAGCCAATTTCTGTCTAATAATTGATCAGGATAACAATATATTTTTTTATATTTCTTACTAATTAAAAAGTGTTTATCAGACTCGCTATCGCAGTGCATAATCATTTCTCACAAGTGTAGAAAAATTTCTCCATTTAGTATATAAGAACAGTTCGCTTTATAACTCGCAGTGTTATAAGCGTGCGTTTATATGTGTACAGTTATTAAGTATGTGAATATATATGTATGTTAGGTTTAGGTTATATGCGTTAAACTCCGTAAATGTGTAGTTCCTAAGTATAAGAACCATCGAACTGTGCAATGAAAAGTGTGTTCCCTCTCTCCCAATCAGTGCATGAAATTACCAATACTTGTAAAGAAAATTTTTTTTTTTAGGATTTATATCCATCTGACCATCTTTTGAAAGTCATAGAAAATTTAGCAGACTGTTTTCTAAATTTTAGTGAACAGTTTTTATATTTTGGTTCACAGTTTATTAATGTTTGCTTAACTATTTTTGAAACTTTCAAAACAGTGTTTGTGAGAGTTTCAATTCCTTGTACTTAATATTCCTTTGACATTCGGTAAAGATTACACAGGCACACAAAAAAAATAATTTGTCTGTTTCTTGAACTAGACATATATTTTCTATAATATTATGGCCAGCTGAAACCGAATCTGAGCTCAGAATTGCTCCATCACCCTCAGTTTTTTTTAAATCGACCAAAACCACCCTTAAACGGACAAATTCACACTTCGGAGATAAAAAATAAATCAAATTATTTTTTTAAAAAACCGAATTTTACATCTACGAAACTTTGCTCCACTAACTCAAAAAAAGCCAGCATTGATCCAGCACCCCCTGAATTTTTTTAAATCGAAAAAACTACCCCTAATCTGTAGAATCAAATTCAGGAGGTAAAACAATAAAATAAATGTTTAAAAAATTTTATAACCAGGTATTTTTACTCCAGCAATGCAGAAAGAAAGCCAGAAATGCTCCCTCACTCTCTAAATTTTTTTTTAAATCGAAATAACCACCCTTAAATAGAAAAATTCAAATTTAATAAGTAAAAAATATTAAATTACTGGTTTTTTTTTAAAAACATGACCTTACATGTACGTAGTTTTGCTCATCTAACTCAAAGAAATAAAGCCAGCATTGATCCATCACCCTCTGAATTTTTTTAATCAAAAAAACTACCCTTAATCTGAAGAATCAAACTTAGTAGGTAATGTAATATAATTATATTGTATTACCTCCTAAGTTTGATTCTTTGGTGGTTTTTTCGATTTAAAAAAAATTTAGAGGGTGAGGGAGCATTTCTGGCTTTGTTTCTGCATTGCTGGAGTAAAAATACCTCGTTATAAAATTTTTTAATCAGTTATTTTATTGTTTTACCTTCAGAATTTGATTTTTCAGATTAGGGGTAGTTTTTTCGATTTAAAAAAATTCAGGGGGTGCTGGATCAATGCTGGCTTTTTTTGAGTTAGTGGAGCAAAGTTTCGTAGATGTAAAATTCGGTTTTTTATAAAAATAAGTTGATTTTTTTTATCTCCGAAGTGTGAATTTGTCCGTTTAAGGGTGGTTTTGGTCGATTTAAAAAAAACTGAGGGTGATGGAGCAATTCTGAGCTCAGATTCGGTTTCAGCTGGCCATAATATTATAGAAAATATATGTCTAGTTCAAGAAACAGACAAATTATTTTTGTGTGCCTGTGTTAGTGAATGTTTTCTAAATTTTAGAAAATAACCCGTGATGATTGTAAACCAACGATTTTTATTCGATAACAGATTTTATGTCCCGTCTCAAAGTGACAGACTAGTATACTAATGATTCACATACTTTTTTTCCGTGTATAGAAAAGATTTCGTTTACGTAATAATAAGACTAAGTTAATGTTGGTTTTTTGCGTTCGCTTATTTTCCCTGTATTTCCCTTTGCATTATTTTAAACTTGTTTTGTTTTGGCTTTATTTTTTTGTATTAATAACGAATTTTCTTAGAAATTATATGATTGCCTTCATAAATAGTAATTGAAATATTTAAGTTGTTTTAAAACTCAAAAGAAAGGTTTCAAGTTTTAAGATAAAAAAAATATATATAAATAAATTAATAGTTAACAACATAACAGAAAATTCGAAAAATGTTTTATCTAAAATATCTAGAATATTATCGACTCTTAACAGATCCAACAGGAAGTAATTACAAAAAGTATAGGTGAATTTTCAAAAACTGTATATGGATGCGTAGTATGAGCCAAAAATTCAGAACGTTCGCCGAACAAAAAAAAATTAAAATCAATTTCAAGACTTTTCTGTTCGCCTTTTTCCTAAAAATATATCAAAACATTGTCTTTCACTACACCTTACCAAAATCTATATTCGGTATGATGCGCTCGAACCCCTAAAACCACCCCTAACACATATATCGTATACGAGGCCATATATTGGTCAATTTGACGACTTTTCTGTTTTCCTTTTTTCCTAAAAATATATCCAAAAAATTGTCTTTTACTACACCCTACCAAAACCCATATTCGGTATCATGCGCTCGAACCCCTAAAACCACCCCTAACACATGTATTTTATACGAGGCCATATATAGGCCCATTTGAAGATTTTTCTGTTCGCCTTTATTTCTAAAAAAATATCAAAATTATTTCTTTTTTTATACTCAACCAAAATCCATATTCGGTATCACGCGCTCGAACCCCTAAAAACCATCCCTAACACATATATCGTATACATATATTGGTCAATTTACGACTTTTCTGTTCGCCTTTTTTTCTATAAATATTGATACCGGTCACAATGTGAGAATGAAGGTGACTGGGTCAAAGGGGAATGTAGGGTAACGTGTGAATAACTATAATTTCTGCGCAAAATAATATGGTGGTCCTGAAAAGGACCGATGGTTACAAGTGGGGGGGGGAAAGAGAAGTCTGGCGTGAGCGTGATAGATTTGCTCTCGAGCTACTCGATCCACCCAAGAATCAGACCCATCACACACAAGCGTAAAAATAAATGTTAGGACAACGGTCCTCCAAGCACTTGGGAGTGGTGAGCGTGGAAACGGCAGCAGACACTAGTGCCTTCCACTCGTGCACTTGTAGATTGTGCTGACGTACGGACGGATGAGTCCTATAAAGGACAACTTCTCGGAGAGGTTGCCTGGTTGACACGGAGATTCCGTTCGCGACTGAGTTCGGGGTTATCACGGCCAGGTCAAGGTCCAGGGTCAAGACCGTGGACCGTTTCTGATGGTCCTCAATCGGGAACAAGGTGCGCCGCGCTAAACTATATTTAGCACAGAGACGACGGCGCAATCTCTGCACCTTTTGGAGAGGTACAGAGCCGACAGGGAGAGGTGCACAACGCCCATAAGGGGTTACGGCGGTGAGTAAATCAGTCTCGGGCGTAGCCTCCGGGCTTTGAGTGACGCCGTCCTGACTGTCGGCTTCCTGGCGGACCGCTTCCAGACGGGCTGCTTCGTGCGCTTATGGGCCTTAAGTCACCTTTCTAGCACCACGAGAGGTGACTTTGCGTCGGTCGAAGGAATGTTACCCGTTAGCCCGGAAAGCGACGACGATGGCCCGGCTGTCCCAACCTGAGGGAAACTGGTTCAGACTCGGAAGGTCCCCGGGGGGCTTCAGGTCGTCTTTACCAGCACCTTCTACAGGGAGTTACGCGATGGTCCACGTGTTGTGGAACCGTAGGTGACGTCCGGGTGGCGTGTCCTTCCTCTTCTTCCAGCGGTGTCTATCTTCTTCTTGGTAGTTGGTCGGTAGTCCTGAGAAGGACTGGTATAATTCGTACGTAAAAATTTGTTGCCCTGAAAAGGGTAGATTGTGGGTAAATGAAGAAAAAGCAGTTTCGATTGGTATTATTTCTTTATTCCAAGACCCTTCCTAAGGAGACGGCACGAGCACTGGCTTAGCGGGCGGTGTCCACTTGAGTGCGAGAAACCAGACCGCAGAGGTCTTTTCACTTCGAAGGTCGAGAGAGTTCTGAGAGGGAGTCTGAGAAATGCGCGGTATTTACAGGCTCTGTCCGGGCTGAGAGCGCGAGTTTCCCCTTCCCACTGGCTGGGAGCCAATCAGCGTTCTCCGGTACAATTTTTATTGAATTCTTAATTATAAAATTGTAATGAGAGAATAAAATTTATAATTTAGTTTAATAATAATACGAAAACAAAATTTATAAATCCATATTAATTAACATTAATAGAATATTAAGCAATAAAATGTTAATTAATAGTTCGAAGGAGTTACTGCTAAAAGGAAAAAATAATATAAAAATTTATATGTAAGAAACTTTGTCTAAAATTAGAAATAAGGACGACGGACTGTTTTGGGTTTCCCCCAGTCGGCGTCACCGTCTCGAAACAAGACAAGGTTTAGGCCTCTCCAAATGTTTCTTACCCGGATTTATAATGTTTGTGCAACTTGCTTTCACCTTTTTCAGGTACAGTTTGCAAACACAAATATCCAAATCCGGAGTAAGTGGATATAACAATATATCCAAAAATGTTTTTTCATTACACCCTCCAAAAATCTGTCATTGCCATGACGTGCACGAACCCCTAAAACCTCCCCTTACGAGCGCGTCATGCCGAATATGGAGTTTGATAGGGTTTAATAAAAGATAATTTTTGTATATATTCGTTGAAAAAAAGGCGAACAGAAAAGTTGTCATATTCTTAATTTTTAGGGTTTCGTGGTCCCGGGCCGAAAGTCGTCCGTCGTACACTCGTATGGTTTCCATGGCAACCGCTTCCATAGCAACCATTACCATAGCAATCATTTCCATAGCAACCATTACCAAAGCAACCGTTTCCATGACAACCATTACCATAGCAATCATTTCCATAGCAACCTTTGCCATGGAAACCGTTTCCATAACATCTATTACCATAGCAACCATAGCAATTCACAAATAATGTAATTATAAATTATTTATTATATTTTTTTAAAGTTTTTTTTGTTTGGTAGATTATAGAAACAAATAAGTTCTCTATAACAGACATTAAACTGACTTTATATTTTATCGAATAGACTTTAAACTAAGCATAGACTGTAGTTTGAGTAAGTATTAAACTAAAACCTTAAATCGTCTAGAGATTTAAAAAAATTGACTTTAGAGACAGCAGACCTCAGATCAACTGGACATTTAATTAAAAGAGTTTAGATCGATTAAGCAACATCCCGAATAGATTGAAAATCGATTAGACATTCAATCGAATAGACTTTTGAATCGAGTTAACTTTATACTAAGTGGACTTTAAATCGATGTGAATGTCTTGTCGATCTTAAGTCTATTTGGTTAAATGCTTAGTCGGTTAAATGTCTCTTATGAAAAATCCCAAAACTTTACAAATATTTTACTTTAACTGAACAGTACAACCTTTTGTATTTTTTTGTTAACCATGTATTCAAGTTACTCTTTTCAATTTTTAAAAACTAACACTGGATTCGTGATCAGCGACCGCAAAAACACCTGACTAGTGATTTTCATGAGTTTTGCTCAACATTTTGAATTTTTTGTTCCGCCATATTGGATCCGCCATTTTGATTATTGAAAAACTGACACCAGACTTGTAATCAGCGACCCAAAAAATCCTAAGTACCACTGTATTTAGTATTTCATAATATTAATTTTACTTTTTTTTACGTTATCTTGTAATTCTAATGTTACTTAAACTTAATCTTCATGGTTTAATATCTTAGAAAGTATAGTTAATCGGACATTTTTGCAAAGGAAACTTTTTTCCTACATGCTGAAATCTACACTGAAAAAAAATTTATTTGATTCAAATACCGGTGTATTTGGTTATTATCAAATAAATATTTACTTGAATCAAATATTTCTTATTTGCTTCAAATAAATGGTATTTGCTTCAAATACTGAAATATTTGATTCAAATATTATATATTTGATTCAAGTAAATATTTATGTGATAATAACCAAATTCACCGGTATTTGTATAAAATAAATTTTTTTTTCAGTGTATCTAAAAAAGAAGTTTAAAAAAATTTAACCGAAAGCAATATTCAATACATTTTCTGCGGGGTCCTTTATATAAACATTTATTTGAAACAAATTATTATTATTTGAGTTACAATATATAATAATATATTAATATGAGAGTGACGAGATATGAATAAAAAGGAATATATTGAGCAAAAAATTTTAGGTTACATTACATAACTGTTACTTTTAAAGTGTCAAATAAGGTATATTTATTTTCATATGCAAAAGTCAGAAAAATTGTATTTGTTTCATTTTCAAAGTTGAAAAACTACTGGGTTTTTAAAATTTACTATTTTGAGGGCGTTTATTTAATTTTTAAAAATATAAATTTGCACAAAAAATGTAACATCACAATTTTTTGTACTTGTACATTATAGAGTACTTTTGTCGCTTTCAAAGCGATGGCTGGGCGTAAAAACATGATATCTCGAATTGGCGTTGAAAAACATGATATCTCAGATTAGCGTTAGAAAACATGACATATCGTCGTTTAAGTTGAAGAAAATGACACGTCGAAAACGAAATTTTTCTTTTCAAATTTCTGTTGGTACCACTGACGGCAAAATTTAAAATGGTTTGTTATATTACATTTTTTAAGAATATATGATGATATTAAAATAATAGAAGTAAAATCTTGCACTATACACATATAATTTTGAATATTTTACATGAAATTCGTTTTAAATCAACGGGATTACAATACTGTATTTAAATGGTCGTCTGTATTATTAATTACTTTTACACCTGTATGAGGTAACGTCATGAGTGGCAAATCCTCCAGGAAATGAATAATTGGAGGGTTTACTAGAAAAAATTTACCTAAGTTAATTTAATTTATTTAGTAATTGTGTTTAAAAAATATACTTTACTTACTCTCCATGATTGACTCTTTAAACAAATATTTAAACAACACCAATTGTAATAGAATATTTACAATATAAATATTTATAATAAAATAGAATTATTTATAAAATCACAGATTTTATCAATCTAAATATAAACTTTATAAAAAGCTATTTAACCTAATTTTTCTTTCAACTGACATATTATGATGCAAAATCATTTGTTTCATAAAACAGTTTCAAAGATTTGACACATTTTAAATTTGACGTTACGTTTCTATGAAATTTGCTCTCGGGTAAAATTCACCCAGTCAGTGGCGAATGTCTGAAAAGGCAAGTCAGGTGAAAATGTAAATTTTTTCCAAACCACTATAATGTGTTTACATAATTTGTTTGACATCTAATAAAGTATATATTTAAAGGAATCGTTTAGATTTCACACATTTCTGCATATATTTGGTCGCATTTTACGCAGTATTGAATACTGGTATGTACTATTTTCAATGTTTTTAAAAATATTAACTGTTTTTGACAGAACTAAAATTTGCAGTAAAAATAAATAAAAGCGACTAGTTTTCGGTACAAACTATTATTATTTAATTATTTATTAGATGCAATATTTTCAGTAAAAAATGCTTTTGATGTTAAATAATCAAAAATAAATCTTTAATAAAGCAAAAACTACCATAAACATAACCAAAAATTTTAAGCAGCTAAACACCCTTTCACCGTGGAGCGTCATATATGTATTCTAATATTTACTGATTTTGAATGTTTATTTTTTAGTGTTTTTTCGTAAAAATGTCTCGTCCGAGAACTCGGAGTGTGGCAGCTCTTGAAGAGCTTTATAAACATGGAGACGTAGAGGAGGAAGAGAGTGCATCCGATAATGCTAGCGATACAGATGATGCTGTGGACGAAGTAGCTGAGAGTTCTCATAATTCAGAAACAGACGCTGAGAGTTACACGGAAAAAATTAATTCAGTATATTTTACAAAACTGTGACGGAGTAGCGGATACAGCTCTTTACGAAACAGAGTTTTGTAAAATGTGATGGATATTTTCGGATAAACTACAGAAATTTCATTGTTTATACTGAATATTTCTGAAGTTTATCCTGAATATTTAGTGACATTTTACAACACTCAGTTTCGTAAAGAGCTGTATCCGCTACTCCGTGATAGTTCTGTAAAATCTACTGAATTAATTTTTTCCGTGTATGGTAGTTCAGATGAGGAATCAATGGAAGAAAAAGAGCTTGACGAAACCATGGCGGCCCCTCTCCGCAAACCAGGACGGCCATCATTTCTGCGTTCAAAAAGTGGCACAAATGGTCTCTTTCTGCTCCTGAACAGAAGGGTAGAAATGCACAAGTTTCATATACGCCTGCGCCTAAAGGTGATGCAATGTATACCAGATCTCCCGTGGAATCTTGGGCTATCCTGTTTTCTATTGAAATCTTAGAAATTATTCTCAAACATACTAATGAACAAATAAACAGGCGAATCGGTGAACTTGAAAGAAGGCAAATGGTAATTGATACATCACTTCTCAAAGTTACAGACATTGTGGAATTAAAAGCTGTTTTTGGATTATTGTATTGCGCTGGCGCTCATAAATTAATTAAATGTAAAACGATGAACTGGTGGAGTGTTCATTCCATGCCTTTATTCAAAGCAACGATGTCAAGAAATCGTTTCACATTTTTATTTGATTGTTTACGGTTCGATGACAAGAATACTCGAAACGAGAGGAAACCAATTGATCGCTTCACGCATATTAGAGAAATTTGGGATTTGTTTATTGAAAGGTGCAAAAATAATTACGAACCGTGTAAAAACATTACCATTGACGAACAACTGCTTTCCTTTCGAGGTCGTTGTTCTTTCAAAATGTATATACCGTCGAAACGAGACAAGTATGGTTTGAAAATTGCCTCTATGAATGATGCGGATACTCACTACATGATAAATGCGATTCCATATTTCGGAACTGTAACTGAAAGGGTAGAAAATGAACCTATTCCTACCTACTATGTCTGAAAATTAAGCGAACCAATCTATGACACAAACCGTAATATAACTTGTGATAATTAGTTTTCGTCATACTCGCTTTTTGAAATGATAAAAAAGAGTACAATTTATCTTTAGTTGGAACGATAAAAAAACAAAAGAGAAATTTCAGCTCCATTCAAAAGTGTGCCGAAAGGTACCCCAAACATTCGATTTTGTTACTCATACAATAAAACGTTACTTTCTTACAATCCGAAAAAAAAGAAATTTGTACTGGTTTTATCATAATTCCATCGTGCAAGTAAAGTAGACGAAGAATCTGGTAAACCGGAAATGATCCTTTTTTACAATCGAACAAAGGGCGGTACAGACAGCTTTGATCAAAAATGTCATCAATATACAGTGGCAAGAAAAACAAACAGGTGGCCAGTTAGAATGTTTTACGGAATGCTCGATCAAGCTGGCGTAAATTCTTTCGTTTTGTTTAATTTAAATCAAGATAACAGGCCAATGAAAAGATTAGAATATTTAATGGAATTGTCATTGCAACTTGTTCATCCCTATTTAGTAAGAAGATTGGAAACTCCAACTTTGCGTGGAACTCTGCGTTTATTGATTCAAGATTTTATAAGGCCCGAAGATGTACCTGCGGAAATTGACATCAGGCACGATGTATCTGATAATAAAATGACTAAGCAGAAACGCTGCTCTTTGTGCCCGTCTTCATTAGATCGCAAGACTTATTTCAAATGTTTGCAATGTGATAAGCCAATGTGTCGAGAATATGCGGCAAAGATTTGCTTCCAATGCGCAAACTAAAAAGTCAAAATAAAATCTTTGTAATTTGACGATTTTAAAAACTAACAACAATTTCATTGTAATATACCCATTTTTATAAATTGATATTTTTTAACGTAATAAAAAAATTTGTTAAAACAATTTCTGTTGTCGGTTTATGTTACATTCATCAATTTTATCAACAACAAATGTTTTATGCCGTATAAACAAATTTTTTTTTACAAAATTTGGGATAAACTTGTTGACTGACTTTTTTGGCTTCTTTAAAAAAGGGGTATTTTCAATCTTTCAAAAAAAAATATTTTTTGGAATTAATTGCAAAACGGCTAACGCTATCTTCAAGATAAACTTTTCAGCTTTCCAAAAACCACCTATAAAATGTTTTTCCATTCTTTTTTACAAAAATAAAAGATTTGGAAAAAAAAAATTTTTTTTTTCAAAATTTTTGGAACACCGCCTACATTTTCAACTGTAACTTTTATAAATTAAAAAATATCACAAATCTTACAAAACCATCGCATTTCTGAGAAAATTTGCGATTGGTTTAAAAAAAATTGTCTTCATTGATTAATTTCAGTCTAAAATACAGTCGATCAAAGATGCTGGGTTAGGCTAACCCAGTCAGTGGCGTCTGCAACTTTTTTGAGGGTTAATCAAACCCTTTTTTCAAAAACGCGACGTGATGGGAAGTTTTTGACTCCAGATCCATATTCAACACGAAAAATCCGTTTGGAAACACTATGTCCAATTTTATTCGCAAAACCCATGCAGGGCAGTGTTATAAATTCGACGCTAGATTTAAAATTGGTCCGGGGAGTCTTACATTGGGTTCTGGGTCCAATTTTAAAATTAACTTTCAATTTCTAATCTGTAACCCCAAAAACCCTCGAAGACGCGATTTTTTAAATTTACATATTTGTAGAAGAATCTTGGCCCCTTCACCTCTCTAAGATTGAATATGTGGAATTTTCACTTTTTTCATGTCAGAATTTTTTTTCACTTATTAATAAGTGAAATCAACTTTTATATAAGTGAAATATTTACTTTTTCATGTGTGAACTTGTTTTTACATATCAATAAGTGAAATCTACTTATAGCTAATTGTGAGCTTCGGAACGTCTTCTTCGGCCAAAAATATTAAAAATTTACCAGATTTACTTGAAAACTGTCCCTTGGGGGTTTTTGGGGTCACTGAATGCAAATTTGAGGTCAGATTTAAAAAATTCAAAATGGCAGACTCAATATGGTGACCCAATATAGCGGAACATTTAAAAATAGATTCGATTCGTTCAATTATCGTAATTCGGGGGTTTTTGGGGTCTATAAATCCAAATTTTTAATTGCTTAAATCTGACCTTAAATTTGGATTCAGTGATCTCAAAAACCCCCAAAGGACAATTTTCAAGTATATCTAGTAAAGTTTTAAATTTTTTTTGCCGCCATATTGTGTCCGCCATTTTTAATTTTTTAAATTTCAATAAAAAAAGTGATCAAAAGTTGCTAAAATAGCCATTTTTTGACCCTTTAGGATTCATTTACTAAACATCCTGACGTGATGGGACATTTTGGAGGTCAGATTCGTTATTAGCACAAAAAAATCACATATAACTATTTTGGGTACTGGAAAAAATTAAATTTCGCAGGCCTGTGTAATTTATTCTAAATAATAAGATGAGTTGTTTCCTCTAGATTGTTTTAAAGAATTAATTTAATTTAGTATTTACTAAACTGTCTTCGGGAATTATGTTCTGTTCTCTATCTGTTTTCTCGATGAATATAAAACGGTTGTCATTTCCAAAAATCAAATTTGTATTTTATGATACAAATATCATATTCGTAATCAGTGATCATGAAAACAGTAAAGTAACAACTTTCAAGGAATTCTAATGAAAACTTTTTTTATGGGTTATTAATTAAATAATTATCAATATAGTGTAACTTTATTTATGTATGTTGTAAATTAAATTATAAAAAAATTATTTTATATAACTATTTGTTGTTTTCAAATATACTACAAACAATAACTATATTACAAAAGTTTACAATCGATCACTAATATTTAATAACTTATGTTAGTAACATATAAAAATGATTGACTTTTTCTGTAAACTACGTCATAAAGAACATGTTTACATTATTATTATATGAAGAACATTATAATAATAAACAGAAAAAAATTACATTATGAAAAAGTAAAATTACATTTTAGAATTTATGTAATTTTACTATTTTTCAGTGAGATATTTATATACTTTTTAAAATTAGAAATATAATCTTGTAACTTTCCAATTTTCGTAGTGGTAAAAGAACAAAATGTTGTAATAGTACAAGATTAAATTTCTCTTGTGAGAGTTTCCTAGTAGGTAAGAAAATGGACTTTCTTAATTAAGTTTCATAAAAATCCAACAATTTTTAAAAAATTCATCCTCCATATTGGATCCGACATTTTGAATTTTCAAAATCTCACTTCAGATTCGTAATCAGCGACCTCAAAAACCTCTAAATACCCAGTTTCATATAAATCTATCAATTTTTAAAAAAATCGTATACCACCAAAAATGTGAAATGTTTTTTGAGGTTAGGAAAAAACGTACACGTGCAGGAGAAAAATGGACTTCAGATTCGTGTTCAGCGGCCCAAAATGCATGGGGGTAGGGTACTTTGATCTCCCATCCCGGGCACTTTTTTTGTGTGGCTGTGTAATCATAAAGCATAGAATTAATTATATTTTATAAATTGCATTTAATTGGAAAATATAATTTAATATCTTAACTTTAACTAAATGATGTTAAGCACTTTTCTGAGTTAGGTATTTTGCAAGTTTAAATGGCATCAAGAAGTTAACATTCGTTTTTACATAGCGTGAGTAGCGTAGTTGATAAAGCGTTAGGCTCGTAGGTTCGATTCCCCCCATGCGTTAGATTTATTTATTTCTCAGGATTGCGTTTAATCATTAATTCTATGTATGAATTAGTTGAAAAATGAAAAAAACGAACATAGTATGCAGAAATTACATAGTTTTTAATTAATTAATTTATTGTATGTATATTACTTTTAATCTATATCCGTCAGTTAATTATTTAGAACATTAATTAATAAAATTAATTTGAGTAAGAATTTAATTTAGAAATGGAAGAATTAGTAAATAAATATGTTCTTTATTCATAATTTAAGCTTATTTATTATAAATAAACTATTATTATTAATTTTGTTGATTTAAAATCATTAAGGCAAACTTGAGGGCAAACGTGATAAAATCTTGTACCACACTTTATTACATTTGCTACATTCTTTATGTATTAGAATTTCGGCATTTTCGGAAAGAGTACACTCAAATACGTTGGATGTAGGTTTTTCGAAAATTTGGGACTTTTTTCTGAAAAATATCATTGCTTGAAGTTAGACTAAAATTTCAGTGCAATGGGGCCTAATGGGTTAAAAATTCAAATATATGCATTCTAGATATAAATTAACCCGTATTTAATTAAATTTAAGAAGAAATTTTTTCGAGTTTTTTGCATTTATTAACAAAAATATTAGACTTAATAAAAACCATTGTTATTGTACGCGGCCCCTTAATTATAATTTGGAAATGTGTGTAAATTTTAGGATATAATTATAATGTATTTTGAATGAAATTATCTTCTCAAACATACTAACAAGTTTATTATTATTTGTCCATGGAGCAACGAATGAAGTATATTCTCTATCCCCAGAAGGGCCGTGGGGAAGGTGACCGCTTAATTTACTTGCGTTATGGCATTGAAGCATCTATTAATATTACGTCTGTTATCTAAATGGTTTTATGCAACAACCCAGCATGTTTTTTATATTAAGTCAATAATGCGACGACAATATATGGCCCAGCTGGACGATAAGTTTACAAGAAAATGAAATGCCTTGTATATAAGGACTTTACGATTATAATCCAGAGTGTCTGGATTGTCTTACGATTACTACCCACTTGTTACTATTCAATAGTTTTATACATTTGTTGGAGTTTTACATATTTGTTAGAGTTAAATTTTACAGCGGAACTCGAGTTACGCAGTGTCATTACGACTTTTCAGTAGTCGATCGGTATAGTATTTTATCGATTCAAGAGCATTGCTGTTAAATGTTTCCTCTCTACAACGCCGTTTCCCTAGCAGAGATATGGAAATTATTCGAATATCGCATCTGTAAATTATTGCACCTGAAAGGATGTAACAGATCGGATACTTGATTTTTTA